CACTTAAAAGTAATGAATTGGGTATTTTTTTACAAAATTAATGCATGCGTTGGCATGGATGTTCCCCGGATTTTTACAGCTTTTCAAGCTTCTCTAAATTCTTGATAACCACGCTTTGTTGAGCTTCTGCTCTTCCCTGTGCTTACTTAAACTTTCTTTTTTACTCCTGTGGATGTTCCACATAGCTTTTTGGTTGAAGTCAGTTGCTGAAAAAATTTGGAACACTCCATGAATTTGCATGTCACGTCACCTGTAGTGTGATATAGTGGAAAATAGTACTGTCACTGTCACAATCAGTCCCTCTACGATTCGTTCATTCGTTTCGATGGTAAATTGGTGCTGACAGTGTGACAGAGGGAAAAATCCTCCATCAGTCTGCTTATAAGCAACCCCTGAGTGAACGGACCATCGAAAGCCTTACCAGCGAGCGGTTGCTTTTGGCAGTTGCTGCCCTCGAAGTGCTTCCGAGTGCCTCTGCTTTTCATAGAGGGCAAGTGAGAAGAGGGTTTTTGACTTACTTTGTCATGCTTCAGTAACCTATGAAATCATTTTTTTTCAATTTACTTTTGTCTAAAATCAATTTTAAACTGCTGTTTTAACTTTTGGCACGTACGTGGTAGATTTATTCAGATTTCAGTCAATTTACCGCAAAATACGTGCAAGCGTACGTTTATCCTGACATTTTTCCTCAGCAGATTTGCAAATATCTTCACGAGTTTCGTCCGGTGTGCCTGTGTATTTGTGTCATGTTTGTGTGTTTATGTGCCCATCCATGTATTTATGTGCGCCCATGTGTTTGTGTGTCTGTGTGTGTTTGTATATGTATGTGCGTGTGTCTACGAGCTTGCGTGATTGTGTGTGTGTTTGTGTGTTTTAGCGTGGCTGTGCATTTGTGTATGTCCGCGTGATTGCGTACTTCCGTATGTTTATGCGTTTGTCCGTGTGTTTGTTTGTATCTCTGTGTGTATGTATGTGTGAATGTGCAGGTGTTTTGAACCAATTTGCTTTATACCTCCTGCATTATCCTCAACCTGCAGCATCCAGCGAGTACCATACAAAACGGTGGTAGCATCTATGCTTATGAAGACGGTTCACGGAGTTCCACGTACACGATGGTTTCCACCGATTCCAGAAGTCGTCACAGACAAAACAATCAGCCGTGGTGCAATCTTTCCATGAGAAAACCAATCAGTCCTATGTTCGAGGAACCTAGCTACAATACTTCTGTTTATGGCTCTCCGTTAGCAACTGCTGAGCGGTCAGTGCTGATTACTGCATATCACACCTGCTTACCTGCTTTTGCTTCTTCACTTCTTCCGTTTTCGATATATTTATTGCAGTTAGGCAAGTGTGAAGATGTGTAGTGATGATACCCTGTATAAATAGGTGAGCGTGTGTCGGTTCTGCAGTCACAGGCTAGGAAGTTAAAATTAGAAATTTTTAATTCTCGATACCAAAATGCAGCCGGCATTAGCGATCCGTACAAAAAAGACAGGCCTGAGTTGGTCTTCCGTTTATCTAACGGCACTTTTCCATTTTTTTTGTTTTGATA